GCCAACCTGTTAATGGAGGTTAAAATTTCATTCTGCTACATTATTTTGTAGTAGTTGAGCTGAACCAGTCTTCAAAAAAGTTTGGCCTCAAAATCAAGTGAGAAAGGAGTAAGAGAACAGATTTTTCTAGATCAGAAAGAGCTGCAGGTATGGATACAACCTTTCCTTTCCTGTACATCCCTCTCCATTTTTTCCTTCCTGATTTTTTGTGGTTTTTTTTGGTTTTGTTTGGTGTTTGGTTGGTTGGGGGTTTTTTGGGAGGGTTCTTTTGGTTTTTTTTGGTCGTTTTGTTTGTTTGTTTGTTTTTGGGTTGAGTTTTTTTTTTTATTTTTAGGTGACTTTTAGGACATGCATCCACTTAAAGAATGAGTTGCTTTTATTATGTATTTTTTTTGGAGGGAGATCAAAATGGGAGCTGAAATCAGGGTTCTAATTTCTTTTTCCTGCTCTTTACTACTTGGTAAAAAGCAAAAAAAGCCTCCCCTTCAGCAGAGATCATGCAAATGGCTAAAATGTGGATGATGAAATCTTAGAGCATGCAGGGACAGCCTCAATCAGCTCTTGATAAAGCCTGTGGGAGGCTTGCCAGTGAAAAAGCACATCCTGTTCTCAGTGACATTCAGCTGAAATGACTTTGGGATCCATTTTAGAGAATGCCCTTTCTAAGGCAGAGCCTTTGCTCATCCCTGTCCTGGATCCAGTGCTCGGCCCCTGGAACAGCCAGGATTTGGGGAGAGGGGCTTGGAGCGCCAGGAGCTGCTCTCCTGTGCATGGTTTGTTAATAGAAGAGCTCCTGGAAATAATTCCCAACATCTTTCAGCTGCTATAAACTTCCTCAGGTGTAGGACACAGGGTTCGGGCTAATAAACTGCCTGGGAAAGAGAGAGCTGAGAAAATAATCTTCAAACAAACGTTCTGGTACAGGGAACAGACTCTGAGCCCAGGGTGAGCTGCTGGCTGGCTTGACTTCTGCTTTAAAACCTTTTTAAATTACCCAAATTTTACAACCCCCTGTCCATCTTTTCTTGTTTAAAGTTATGGTATAACTACTAAAATAAGTGCAAAATTTCATTGCTAGGAAGCATTGTCACTGTCAGGCCAAAAGTTCTCACATTTTGCTCTAAATTCCCTGTGCTTATTTGCAGTGCTTGCAGGACTAATGTGGGTGGAAATAAAATCTTCAGCCTGGTTGTAGGTAGGCAAATATCTCTCATGCAGGAAGATGTAGTGTTTAATAAGAGATTGGTTGGAAATTAATATTTCCTTTTGTGATGTAGGCAAAAGTGGGAAGACTCAAGCTGGATGTAAAAATGGTTTTCATGTGGCCCTTTCCAAACGACTTGCTTTGAATTTTCATGGGATCATGGAGGGTTTTTGGTTGGAAGGGACCTTTTCCTTCCACCCCTGCCATGGCAGGGACACCTTGCACTGTCCCAGGCTGCTCCCAGCCCTGTCCAGCCTGGCCTTGGGCATTTCCAGGGATGAGAACTCCACAACACCTCTGGATTTGTGCCTTGTGTGGGGTTCAGATGGTAATAAGAAAAAAAAAACCAAAACCCCACATTTTCAATTTTGATAGAGCACAGCACCAAACTTCAATTTTCCTGTCAGTATTATGCAAGCTGATGAGATTTTTCAGTTTTCAAGCTGAAAAGCTTCATAGCCAATATGGAAGACATCCTAAATAAAAAAACCATCCTAAATCATTGCTAAATCAAACAGATTAGAGTGTGCTCTGTTTGTGGGAAATGCAGAGCCAATAATCTGCTTTCTGTGGAATGTTTTTGCTTGTTTTCATTGTGAACAGAGGTATTTAAGCAATTTCAGCTGTTTTCTGCTGTCTGATTTAGAACTGCTTAGACCAGGGAATGGACTGAAGGTTTAAGTCTGGCTCAACCATGACACCATTGCCCAGGCCAAAGTTAAGACAGAGTAACTGACAATAATGATAAATAACATTCAGACTTATCAATATTATTGTTGCTGAGCCAGCTTGAATTTTACAAAGAATTTCGTAGGCCTGGTTGGCAAGAACGAGTTTTCATGGAAAATCTTTGAAATTAGATCATAACTTGGTTTTAAAGTCTACTGGAAATCATCCTGATGTTTTACAAACTGTGTGAAAGAGAAGATTTAATGTTCTGAGGAGTTTCAAATGTTGTTCACTTCATCAAAAACCAATACAGGAATGTGATGGTTACCCTTTATTTTTTTTTTGAATTGCACTGGGGACATGAAGTATCTTTTTATAATTTACCAGACATTTATAATGTACTGCACTTCAAAAGACAGTGTTTTATAGTTATCTGTAATTCCATCCTGCAGTACAAATTAAAACTTGCTGAACTTTCTTGGAAAAGCATCGCCACATAACATTTCTTATGCTTCATGATGTCTGTTTGGAAAGGCAAAACAGCTTCCTGGAGAATATTTTTCATGTTAATCTTTCTACCTGAATTTATTTGGCAGTGTAATTCTGTGAAAGTTGATGAGTTTGCTTATATAACTTATGTGTACAATGCTTTGAATATCCCAATCATCTCCAAGTAAAACCATTTTCCTTCCTCTTCCCTCAAGCATTTTCTACTGAACCTGGAAAAATGGGGATGTTTGACTCCTCCATTAACATCCCTGGTGTTTACATCGTTTCTACAACACAAAGTGAGAACTGGGAGGCAGCACCAGGAGCAGGCTTATGGCACAGCATGTGGGGAATGCTTAGAAAATCACAGCAGACAGACAATTTACAGCAGTGGGGGTTATTTTTCACTCCAGGACTTTGATCTGGCTGCAGGGTGTTTATCAGGACTGCTTTGCATGGCATCTACATTTAATAAGGCAGCAGAAGAATGATGAGGCTGCTTTCCTGACAATTTTCTAAACAAAATAGAATGCTTGCTGCTCAACAAAAGCTTTTTTTTTTTTTTCCATTTAGTCAAATATCAGAACAAGAAATAGCTGCAGAGTTTTATTAGTTGCAGATTACTTGCCCAGACAGCTGTGCTCTCAGCATGTCATCAAAAAAAAACCTGCTCTCAGAAGCCAAAGCAGCCTCACAAGCTGATCAGTTTAAACACAGAGCAAAAGTTGTGGCTCACCCCGAGGTATTAAGGGTGTTAAATGCTCTGCCAAGGCAGAGGGCCGTCACTGTCACAGCCCTGCAGAGACTCCTGCTCCTGTTGGGATGCTGTTCCTGCAGGCTGGGAGGGCAGAAAGCAGCTGAGGGCAGTGGTGTTTGTTAACAGCTCATAGGAAGGTGTTTATTAACAGCTCTGGGAAGGAAGATAGCCGGGGCCAGGTGTCCTTTCCAGGTAAAATCTATTGGGAAGGAGGGAAAGAGCTCCACTGGAAAAGCTCTGAGTCCCTGGTGGCATCTCCCTTGCACTCTTCCTCCAGAAGAGGCAGCAGGGCCAGCCTGGAGCAGCCTGGGCTGTGGGAAATCTCCTGGCCATGGCCTGGAGGAGCTTCAGGTCCCTTCCAGCCCAAACCATTCTGGGATTCTGTGCATTATGGTCTTGGAAAGGCTAAAAGGGCTCATAAGGTTGGTTTTTCCTCTCTTGGGAGCCCCAGTTCTATTCCCAGCATTGTGGTCTGTGCTGTTGCTGCGTGAGTCTGTCCTCAAAGGGCCTTCAGTTCAAACACCTTTAAAAATGTCTGATTTCCTAAATTGCCTCTGTGTGAATGGAAATAAGCAAAGGAAGGGAACTAAGCTTTGTGAGGCTTGGCATGAGCTTCAGGTGAGCATGTTCTCTCTGTCAATTTGGAGTGATTTTCAAAGGCACAGTGAGATTTCAGTGTTGGACAGGAGGATTTGAGTCAAAATGAGACATTAAATATGGATATAGGCACAAACTTAAATTAAATATAACAAAGAAACATTCTCAGAATTTTTTTTCCTGACAGAAATATCAAACAGGAGCTGGATGCCTGCTCCTGGCAGCATTTATTTTCTTATGGTGAGGCTAAATTGGACATGAGTGAGTCCTCCTCTGACAGATTTTGTTTCCAAGTGTCCTGCAGCACTGCAGCTCAGGATACAGAGCACGGGCTGGGTGGTGGTGCCCATTTCACTGCTGCCAGTGACTCTTCCCAGGGCTTCAACAAGTGCTGGAGGGAAAACATGCTGAAAATTCTAATTATGCTGCTTGGTGCTATTCCTATGTCTTCTTAATTAAAAAAAAAAGAAAGTTTAATGTCTCCTTTTGGTGGCATCCACTAAATATTCAGCTCTTCATTTTGATTCAAATTCCATTGTCTTATAATTTACAACTCAACTAAACGTTTCTTTTCATGAGTGACACCCAAGGCTTTGTGCCTGCAGGTATCACTGCATGAAGTGGGATATTTAAAGCAAAAATCTGTTTGCTTCCAAGAGAAGAACAATGCTCTGAGTGTGAATGATGTGTCAAAACGTCAACCAAATTGTCACCTGAATGTGGCAGCTGCTCCATTCTGAGGTTCACATTAAATGAAGATAACTGAGCAGTGTTGTAGGTGGCTTTGTTTGTTTTGTTTAGTGAAGCTGTTGGTTTGATTAGGAATGCTTTTTCAGGAATCCTCTTTGACAGCAAACAGCCAAATGGTTTTACCTGGGTTTTTGAATAAACTCCTGCTGCCAAACTCTTCTCTGCAAAGTATTGTTGTGGGTGTTGGACACCACCGAGACCTGGCCCAGATTCCTCCCACACTCTCCTGAGCTCTCTTTGTGTTCTCCAACCAGCCTGGCTCCCTCTCCTTCCAGCAGTGCTGACCAAGGTGCAGGGTATTGCAAGATAAAGCCAATCAGCATTTGCAATTCCTTCTCCTTTTGCTGTATCCTCTGCTACAGGAGGCATTTTGTCCTTGCTCCTCAAACTTTGCTTCTTGTTCAGGCTGCCCTGGGGCAGAGGCTGGGCAGAGTCCCAGAATCAAGCAGGGATTTATCCAAAGCATCTCCTCCATGGATCCACCTTGGGCAGCACCAGAGCCCAGCCAGGGCTGCACCCAAGATGAACCAAAATGGCCCCAAAATGCACGAGCGCTCCCGGGGTCTCTCCCTGGGATCAGTTCTGCTCCATTTGCGCCTTGCAGTTCATTGTCCCATTCCAGCTTTAGCCCCTGCAGTCCCACCCTGCTTGTTTTTCTCTCTCCAGCCCACGGGGTTTGTGCTCTGGGGCTGAGATTTGGGTCATTTGTCCTTGGTGCCCAGCTGGAGCAGGAATTGTTTTGTCTCCCTGCTCTGTGCACACAGCTCACCATCCCTGAATGTGAAGCCCAGACCCACACACTAAAGCAGCACAGAATGTGAAACACAGAAAAGCTCAAACCTGAGGCATCACCTTCACCTGTTCTTTTCCCGCCTCTTGTAGCTGGAAATGTACACATGGAAGAAGAGAAGAAAATCCCGATCACACTGCAGAGATGGACTTTACAGGTGAGATTTCTGGATTTTGCACTTTTTACAGGAATTTCTGGCCTCCGGGACTGAGGTATCCTTTTCCCCCAGACAGCCCTTGCTGCAGCCAGGGGAAGGCTCTGCTGATGTTGTCTGCATTCCCTGCAGTGCCCTGAGCTCTGTCCCTCAGCAGGGCCTGGCTCCACTCTGGTTTTTGCCCCTCTCTGGCTGGCAGCCCTCAGCAGGGAGGCTGCTCCTCCCTTCCAAATTCTTGGGATCCAGCTCAAGAACCCCAAATAATCAATTTCTTTGGTGTGTGTGGCAGCCAGGAGCTAAAAGCTCCTGCAGGATGCACCAAACACTATTCTGCACAATTCCAACTTCAAGTGTGCCCATTTCCATCCAATGAGGGGGATTTACTGATTTTAGGTTATTAGAAATGCAGCCTCCAGTAGACAAAACCCTAATAAAGTGAGTTCCAGGGTATTTTTTACAAGATAAGGGGAGCTGGGAAAGGAAAAATAGAGAAAACCAGGGTAGGTTTAATTGTACTGATAAAGAGAATGTGTGAGTCTGTGAAACTGAGGGACTGTTGTGTGTTGTTTATAGGGGAAGTGGATTTAAAATGGAAAGATTACCTATTGCAAGAGTAGGGATGTATTTATAGATGCTTAACTCTGTGTTCATGTGTTTTCAGCTGGGGTGTGTATAAAAGTAAATTGCTTAATAAATGCAAATGATTTGTAGCACAATTTTGGGCTATAGAGCAGCTTTAGTATTATGACTTTGGTCAGATTCCCTTCTGTTCCTTCACATAACCCAGCCAGAATGATGGCAAAACCCCACAAAAGCAGGCATCACATCTGTAGTTGAGTTTTCCTAGGCAAATGATGCTGCAAAATGTGTTTTCTGTAGGGCTTGTTGGACTGGGTTGACCTTTGCAACAGCTTTATTCTCTTCAGCACCCTCGAGTTTGGAGACAAATCAATAAATTGAGCAGGAGCAGTGCACAGAGACCAGATGGTCCTCACCCAGTGCTTGCAGGGGAATGAAAATGTGAAATCACGAAATCACCAGGCTGCTGCTGTGGGACAGCACTCAGATCTGCCTGGGTGCAGGAGGAGCAGCAGGGAGGAATTCTCAGCCCAGCCTTTGTGCCAGCGTGCAGCTGAATCCAAACCTGACTCAGTACCGCGTAAAATAAATTCAGGTGCTCAGAGGAATGGACAAACTGATGTTGGGGAGTTCTCTCTAGCTTTTATAATGACAAACAATACCTGGAAGATTTTAGGAGGCGTTAACAAGTATTAGGACGATGTAATTTACATATTACGTAAAGATTTTTCAGAAAAGCCTCTTAAAAATATATAAAAAAGCTTTTTAGGAAATTGAACAAGAGTTTGGATTAAAAATCAGGGTTTTTACGCATTGACAACTTACTAAAAATGTGAATGCCTAAAAAGGCTGATTTTTAATCCAAGCTCTAGTTCAATTCTCTATTAAAAGGAAGTGAAACTGAAGGACAGGTTTTCATGTGGAGGCAATTCCAAGGGTGGCCTGGAAGAGGAAGTAAATAGGTGACAATTTGCTGCTGATGCAAAATGACTCAGAATATTCTAATTAAAACTGGCTGTGGGAGCTTGCAGAAATTTTTGTGTGACTGAGGAAACAGAATATTGATAAATGAGTGACAGTGGGTGGGAAGGAACCTTAGTCAAAGTCATGGCTGAGTTGGAGAATTCCAATTCTCTCTGGTTTGGGGAGGAAGTTCTCCAGGAATGGCCTTATTTTGCAGGAAGCACATGATTTTTAAATTTTAAGTTTGTTTTAGTTGTTTTTTTGTTTTGTGTTGTTGGGATTTTTGTGGTTTGGTTTTTTTTTGGTTGGTTGGTTGGGGGTTTTTGGTTGTTCTTCTTTTTTGTGTTTTTTTGGTTTTGTTTCATTTCTTTTTGCCATTTTTGCAGTGTTTTGGAGGTGCTTCCATAACCTTGTTGCCCTAAGAGTAAAGCTGGAAACTTCATCCCACTTCCAGATTAACCTTGATTTTAATTTGACTGTCAGAAATGTTTATTTCTAACCAGCACTTTTAGCTTATAAAGATCTCCTCTCTCCACCAGTGCTTTTCTTTCAAGTCGCTGTATCTAATGAGAGGCAGCAATTAAAGCCTCACATTAAAACTTTGCTAAACTGATCAAAGATAGTGTCTGGCAGGAGATTCCCCTTGGTCCTTAGGGTAGGATGTGACTAATTCACCTTTTTATGGCTCCAGCTGTGTTTGCTGTAAAAGCTGTGCTAACTCCATTGTTTAGGAATGTAATTAAATTTAGGAGAGGTTTAATGCAGCCAGTCCATGTGATGAAGCAAATGACTTCTGAGATTCCTTGAAGACTGACTGTATAATGCTCATAAAACTCCTCCTTTGTTTCAGAACTTCTATGACTTCACAAAAAAAGTGAAATCTGGCACTTGGCAGAGGCAGAAGGAAACATCTGGATGCTTTTGATCAAAGATGTTTAAGGAAAATGAGCCTGCAGAGCATCAAGAATGGCACAGTTTGAGAAAGAGAAAGGAAGAATGAAACTCTCCTCAGCAGAAGTTGGTAAATTTGGGGGGAAATTTGCTGTGTAGTCTCTTATTCCTCCAATAAAGCCTAATGCTTACACAGAACATTCAAATAAGTTGTTTTAAATACTGGGGTTTTAAGACTGAAGCTGAAATATATCTAAAATTAAGAAAATTAGCTGCAGAATGGTCTTCTGCAACACGTGGCAGAGCTGTGTTAGTAAATGGAAGCGAAATGATTTTCTTACTATCCAGTGTTCACTTTCTGCAAGAGTAAATAATTTCTTTGAGCAGTGGTTGAGTAACTGGAAACACTCAGTGTCTGAGCTAAAAGAGTGATTTATCTTCCATTGCTTGCTGAGTGCTGCATTATGTTACAAATCTAAAGCTATTCAATAAATTACAAAGAATTTGTGTATTTTTTTTTTCAGGGATGTGATTTCTGCAGTTTCCTGAGCACACAGAAGAGTGGAGAGGACCTTCTTTGCCCATTTGCTAGAGAACAGTTGATATTACATTTGACAATCCTGTAATCCAATTTATATCCAGCTCGCTGCTGGCCACCTGTGAGCAATTTCATTCTGTGGCTTTTTGTTTTAATCTTGAGAGCGCTCATTTGTCTGTGCAAGATGATTCCCTTGGACTGCCTCAGGATCTTGGGCCCACCACAACAGCTGGGTGCTTAATTCAGACACTTGGAGTTACTGAATCCTGATTTTTTGGTGGGAGTTTCAGTCTGTGGGATGAATCCTGCACTCAGAAAATTGCTTTTCATGCTGTGCTGTTTGCTGCCATTGTCCTGTGAAGGTGAAGTTGTGTCCCAGTGCATGCAAAATGAAAAGTAAAGGAACCTGACTGGCTGACTGCTCTTTTAGACAGTAAAATGAAACAGTCCTTAGCTCCTGGTAATGGTAGCAGCAGTGTTTTCTTGATTTAATAATCCAGACAAAATGATTTTTCTGTTTAAACTCCGTTTTAGGGGGTTTGGGATGGGATGCTGTCCCCTGTACCGTGGTCCTGCTCCTCTGATCTCCAGATCAGGTATTTACATTTTTCCCCTTGGTTCAGTGAATTTCCCAGGCTCTGCACTGCCAAGGGATGCTGGGAGGGCTCTGCTCTGGATATTCTGCATCAGATCCCAACATTTCAGTGCTTCTGCCTGGGCTGAGGTGTTTGCAGGGGCAGGGATAGAGGGAGGTGCTGAGATACCGCAGCAGGCTCCACTGAGTATCAGCTTTATCAGCTCCTCTGACTTAGCTGGTGCCCTGCTGGCTAAAAATATTCCTTATTTAGATGTACATTTTTGGATTTTTTTCATGGATTTTTTTTCAAAACCTCTGTCAAGGTTCTGTTCTGTGAGGTGTGGGTGACATTTGCCTTCTGAAAGCTGAGATTTGTGGCCACTGTGTAATACTGAATTCTCTGTGTCTGACCTGACCATGTGCACAAATTCTCTTTTCTCTGTGACTGTGCATCTGTGTGTAACAGAAATAGGGGGGGATTTCAGAGTAAGGCTTTTGTAAGTGTTTTATATTCAGATTTAATAGCTGGAGTGTAGTGAGGTGTCTGAGCCAATTGATGAAATTAAACTTTAAAGGTTCTATTTGAGCAGAAAAATAAATTCTGCTCTCATACCCCATGCACTGTTAAGGTGTTGCTGTTGTGTTTATGTCCAGATATTACCTAAAGCAGAGGTGAAAAGCTGTGCTTGGATTTTCCTGGAATGAGATCATGTTTAGGAGTGCTTAATTAATGACAGCAGGGGAATTTGCATGTGCACTTCTTCAGATCAGTGATGCACATTTTCATGGTGTATTTTGAGTGTTGAGATGGAAGTTGAGACTCTGTTTTGTGAAAAGAAAATGAAATAAAAGGCAGGAACGTGACCTGAATTAAATAAGTCTGTTCTTATCTTGAATGATAAAAAGAACAGGGACTGGTTGAAATTCTGCTCTGACACAAAAATTCCCCACAGACAGACAGTGAAACCTGAAATCCTTGTTCCTGAAAAATCATGGAATATCCTGAGTTGGAAGGGACTCACAGGGTCATTGAGTGAAGCTCCTGAACCTGCCCAGGATAACCCCAAAAATCCAGAGAATCCTGAGCCTGAGAGCATTGACCAAATGCTTCTTGAGCCTAAATCCAGCACTTGCCAGCCTCCACAGTCCAAAGCCTCAAAACAAAGAGCAAAAGGAAGCAAATAAAAGTGCAAATCTCATTTTACAGCAAAGACAGAGGCCTGAGCATGTTCTGAAGGTTGTGATTTTCTGGATGTAACCTCCCAAACTGCCCTAAAATGACCCAAATATGATCAATTTAAAATGTGCTCCAAAAGCCAGATATCTGGGAAGAAATTTTCCAATTTTATTTCACCACTGCTTGCAAGATGCTGCCTGAGAATAATGCACAACTATGACGGTGTTCACAGGGGTCTCAGGATGAGGGAGGAGATGAGGATCTGACTCCATGTTTCAGAAGACTGATTTATTATTTTATTATATATATTACATTAAAACTATACTAAAAGAATAGAGGAAAGGATTTCATCAGAAGGCTGGCTAAGAATAGAAAAAGAATGAATAACAAAGGCTTGTGACTCAGAGTCTGAACCAGCTGACTGTGACTGGTCATTAGTTAGAAACAACCACATGAGCCCAACCCTAACCTGTTGCATTCCACAGCAGCAGATAACCAATGTTTACATTTTGTTCCTGAGGCCTCCCAGCTTCTCAGCAGGACAAATCCTAAGGGAAAGGATTTTTCATAAAAAATGTCTGTAACACCCAACCTCTCTCCTGGCTGCAGAGAAGGATGAGGAGAGGCCAACACCTGCACCTGGCTCTTCAGCAGCATGAGGCACCTGGACACAGGTAAAAAGCTGGACAAATAATGGAAACTGAGGCAGGAACACATCAGTGATGGGGGACCCATGGAGGGGCCTCAAGGCAGCCCTGCCACCTGATGGAGAACCAGCCACAGCTCTTCAGCTGCTGGAGAAAAAGGAAAATCCACTCTGAGGGATCACTGGAGGATGTGGGATGGACAGCTCAGGCCCTCAGTGCTCACGTTTCTGGCCACATCCACCTCCATGCTTTTATAGGAACACCCACTTGGACACTTGGCACCAGCAGAGAGAGCTCTCACAAGGAGAGAAGTGTGGATTTGGATTCCCCAGCAGCACAAGTTTTGCCTGCCTTGATAGTTTTTTAATGTGTTTTATTTTTGCTTTCCGTGTCTGATGGAATTGTTGAAATGAGTGATGTCGTGCAGCAAACTTTGGGATGCCTAGGGCAGCACTCAGGCACACTGAGTGGAAATATTAAAAACCTGTCAGATGGGAAAGGGCTCCTTCCTTTCTCAACTGCCAGTGTTTTATACACTGCCAGGAACACCTCTGCTGCTCCTGTGCTACCTCAGCTGCTACTGATGAAATTTGGTTTTCACTCACCCAGCTCCAGTCGTTGCTTAAGGGCCTGAAGGAGATGATTACTTAAGTCAGGGAGCAATTTAAGGGAGGTGGAATGTGAGCAGCTTTCTAAGGAAGAGGTAATGGAGTTGGGTTTAACTCTTGCTGTGACAGCAAAAAAATTTTGCCTTTCCTTCAGAAGACGTGTCTGTCCAAAGTAGCTGTGCCTTTTCCTGATTTATTGCAGCTCCTCCAGCTCAGTTTGTGCAGGGAGTGAGGTGAGAAGGAACCCTTATCTCTTCCAGGAGTGGCCACAACATTTCTGCTTCATTGTCTCTTTTCATTTCTCATTTGATTGAGAAAGAACCATCAGTGACTTTGAATAAACATTTAAGTGCAGGGAGTAACAAACCAGTGTTGTATGGCTGGTAACTTTTTCTGGTGAGTGTTTCTGTTTATTTAGGGACTCAGAGAGAGCTCTACAGAGGCTTTTTGCTGCAGTCTGGGATGGTGGCAGTCCTAAGGCTCGTGTCAAGCCCTGCTTAGAGTCCTTATGGTCTGCTCAGAGTGGCTGATTTGTGCAAATAAATGTCATCTGTACAGTTTAGCAAACAAATATGTCAGGGGGAGGCACAGCTTGAGGTTATATTGAGAGAATTTTATCCTAAAGCAATAGGTTACATGGGTGGGATTAAATAAAGGCAACTCCAAGAGCCGTTTTTGACATATTTACGTCCAAGTCCAGGTTTTAGGTATTTGCTCCTAAGTTTGGATGTTGAACATGGGGGAGAAGAAATCTTACAGAGCCTTTTCCCTGTGGTTGTGGAGCTGTTACTGACTGAAAACAAAGTATAAATTGCAATATTTATTGTAATTTCATACTGAGAAATTTAATGAAGGCTTTTTTAAAAGATTTTCTATCCATTCCTTCAAAGGAAGGGGCTCCTTCATTGAAGCCTTCAATGTCATTAAAGTCTTCCTCAACGCCAACACTTAAAGTGATGAAGAACAGGAAAAAGAGGAGATTGTTCTGCCATTGTTTGGTTGAAGAGGAAAATGGAAATTGTGTGTCAGGCTTTGAGGATTCAGGAATATAATATTGACTGAATGAGACTTCTGCAAATGGCTTCTGATGTTGGAGGTGTTGTCAAACATAAAAGCTGTGCCAGGACTTCCCAGGGCATTTAATTTTGAGGAAGGCAGGTCTAGAAAAAAGGAATATTTCTTCCTTCTGCAAAAGCAGAAGCAAAGTGTGTTTTCAAGAGAAAACAAGTTGCACAACATCAGTGCAACAATGCACAATCAACAGGAAATTCTGGAGATGCTCCTTTTTGTAAATTCAGCAGCACCGCAGGGGAAAAGTGCTGAGCCTTTGAAAACTAAAAATCCCTGCCTCTGAAGGCATGTTAGCAGCATGGGTTCAGCAATTTTAATAGCCAGCTTTGCTTGGAAACTTGCTGTTGTGTGGTTTGCTGACATGACTGCCATGAAAAGGTTTGTAAATTGGGTCCTGGAAGACTGGCAGATGGGATTGCAGAGCTTCCATGCTGGATTCTGAACAATTCTTACTGCATGCACACACCAGTGTGCTTCTGCAGCCCTTTAAAATTACCTTTATTCCAATTCCTGCCCATGGCCCCCATTTGAAATGTTTTTGGGTTTTTTTCTGTAGGTGTCACTATAGCATAGCAGATAGAAACCACTTTCCTTAATGAAAATGTAGAATCCCCACAGATCTGAAGGAAGCAGTAATCTGGTTTTCTGTGCCATGGTTGTCATATCAACAATGAGGTTTCTCAGCAACTAACAGAATATTTTATAGATTTATTTACTTATCCTTTTTTAATAATGAACTTGATACAAGAGAATTTTTTCCCCTTTATAATTATGTAGCAATTGAGAAAGTCTTCCCAAATCATTTACATTTTGTTGTCATGTTAATACCAACAGTTAAAATGAGTCTTGTTAATAAAAGGTAACCTGTTAGGATTTATGAATACACCAGAATGTAGCCATATTATGTTGCAAAACTTTTTGTATTTCCACTTAACTGGTTGCTGAAAGAACAATTTGTGTGTATGGATTTGATGGTGTTGCTGTTTAGGAGGTAAACTTGGCTCGGTGTGTGTTGTTCTCTCTGCTTGCATAATTTCTGAAAGTATTGAACCAAGCTTGCTTTTAAAATTAGGGTTGAAGGAAAATGCCTTGAAACCTGCTTTTTATTGCCAGTATTAATCATAGAATCCTGGAATGGTTTGGGATGGGAGAGACCTTAAAGCTCATCCCATTCCACTTTCACAATTCCACTATCCCAGGCTGCTCCAAGCCCTGGATTCCTACACACTCCATCCTAAGTAGAAATTCCCACCTCCAAAGGAGCAAATTGCTGCTGTCTGCTGGTTAAGGCACAGCTTTAGTCCTTGCTTTCAAAGAGAATTGGGAATTTTGCCCCAAATTTTGCCCCAATTTTGCCCCATA